TGCTATTACTCTAAAGAAAATTGACAAAAACTATCAATAAAGTCCTAATGTCCAAATCCAATGGACTAGTTGTTATGCCCGATGTCCGAATCTCTGAGTGGGAAGAGAGAAGGCTTCCAAGACAACGCAACTCGCATAAAAGGGAAGTTTATTGCTGACTCGAGTCAGGGCTCCTGCCGCGCGTCCAACGCAGTGGTGCAGGGTCAGAGAGTGCTGAGCTCAAGCTGTTACCCAATTTATAAGGTGTGCATAGCAGTTGGTAGCTGGCTTAAGCGGATTGGTTACATGTTTGCAAAGTAATCTTATTGGCCCAAACCTTCGCGGGCTTTTTTCAAACTTGGGCATTTGCGGGCTTTTCAGCTTTCCCCTGAGAGGTGCCCTTTTTCTTACTAGGCGCATGTTGATGGGCTGGCTCCAGGTGGCCTGATAATCATGTTACCCTGGAAAACCAGGCCTACTCCTAATCTAGGCTGCCTGTCATGGCGCAGCCTCACACTAGTCTCAGAGTGCACCTTGACATTTCAAACAGCATTTGGCACTATTAACCACTACAACTTACGCAAACACAAACCAAAACCCTACCTATTCTCCTGCACCTTGGAGAAAACATGGAAAATATGAGTTAAAAGATAAAAATAGTAATCACCACTTAATCACAACCACTGTTAACACTTAGTCCCTTCTATGTACTTGTTAGTATACAAAATTGGATATTTTATTTATAAATAAGTACTTTGGGTTTTTTCTTGTGTTTTCTCTTGACATTAAACAGAATTTTTTGAAAGCAATTTTAATCATTGCATAATGTGTTATATAGTTGTATCATAATTTAGCCTTTCTCCTACTGTTGGTATTTAGCCGGTTGTCAGTTTTCACTTGTAAATCTCTCTGATAAACATTTTGTAGACAAATTTTGTCTCAAATTCTTATTTCTTAATGGTAGATCCCATGAGGGGAAAGGACTAGGTTAAGGATATGATGTTATGAACATTCTTAACATAGACTGCCTAATTACTTCCCGCAAAGGTAATTTACACTCCCATAACAACATTCAGAGGACCCCAAACTTACTAATTCTCTTGCTAATGTTGAATTTGTTTTTACAGGCCTTTTAAAATCCTTGCCACTTTGATAAGTTAAAGTAGAATCTCAGCCTTGATTTGCCCATCTCCAATGAGTGGTGATTATATATTCACCACTTGTCTCCTCTTATCCTTGGCTCCCTAGCTCTCTTACTTCTGAACACTCCTTTTCGGTCTTCTCGTGTTTTTCTGACTCTTCCACAGTATATTGTCAAGCCTCCTGAATGTCCCACAGGCATCTCAAACTCAGTATGTCCTAGATTAAACTCATTCTCACTCCTGAGCTTGCTTCATTTTTTTATGGCTAATGACATCATCCACTACCCAGGCACTTCAGTCAGAAACCTGAGTCTTGCAAGATGATTCCGTCCTCTTGTCCCCAATTCAGTAAGTTCTTCCAACCCACATCTTAAATCTCTCAGATGTGTCCACTCCCTTCTCTCTCCACAGCTATTGCCCTAGTTGCCTTGGTTATTTTAACATTCATCACTAGTCTCCTTGCCTTGAATCCTGCTCCACGCAGTCCTACTTACTGCTTCCAAAGTGATCATTCTAAAATGCAAACCTGGTCCTTCTGCTCTACTCTCTGGACTCTACCTCCCTTGTATGGTAGCCTACTTTTAGTTTTTTATGTAAACACCATACTGTTTCCCATAGTCTATTTTTAGTTTTTTAAGAAAGCACCACACCGTTTCCTGTAGTGGCTGTACCAATTTACATTCCCACCAACAGTGTACGAGGGTTCCCTTTTCTCCACACCCTCTTCAGCCTTTATTATTTGTACACTTTTTGATGATAGCTGTTCTGACTGGTGTGAGGCAATACTTCGTTACTGCTGCAAACCATTTAGTACAGGTACTTTTTATTTAGAGCATATGCATTAGTTTTTCTTGAATATGTTTAGTTACGTCTGTCAGTTTTTGAATGAGAATGTACCAGTTTGTATTTCCACAGCCAATGTATGAATTTTGGTTGCATCTCTCTTGGTAATCTTTATCAGTCCTGCACCAAGAACTCAAATTTTTTTAAAAGTTTGATTTTTTTTTTTTTTTTTTTGGTATGGAGTTTTTGAGTCTTAGGTAAACTATGTATAAAATCATCTTTTTAAAACATTTCTATTCAATATTTTTATTGACCTCTAACACACAATCTAAGAAAAAGCAAAGTGCTTTCTATAAATTGCATCTTCAAGTTGCCTGACCTACATTTCAAACAAGATTGCAGCCACCAAGCCCTTTCTTTAAATAAATTCTATAAAGTCATTCACTGAATATTACTTGCCCTAAGAAGCTTTCTCTAATCTTTTCTTCCTGACAATCTGTTCACAGCCTTTCTCTCTGAGCTCTTACAACTGTGACCATATACAATTGTTATCCACCAAACATCAGTATAATGTGTTAATTCTCTTTTAGTTCCTTCCACTGGGGTACTTATCTCAGGTAAGGATGCCACATCAGTTTCCTCGGGTGTAATAAAGATAAGAGAAGAGCAGCTCTCCTGGGTTCCCTTACCCTGCTGCTCTCTGGCCAGGTACCCCTTCCCAAGGTGTCTCATTTTGAAGAAAAAAAAAAAAAAAAAGGTAAGAACACATATCTCATAGAACTGTTGTGAGAATTAAATGTTAATGTGCATTTAAAGCATTTAGTACAGTGTTGGGATGGTTGAAGCTCAAGCTGGGATCAAAATTGCTGGGAGAAATATCAATAACCTCAGATATGCAGATGACACCACCCTAATGTCAGAAAGTGAAGAGGAACTAAAGAGCCTCTTGATGAAGGTGAAAGAGGAGAGTGAAAAAGCTGGTTTAAAAATCAACATTCAAAAAACTAAGATTACAGCATCTGGTCCCATCACTTCATGGCAAATAGATGGGAAAAAAATGCAAACAGTGACAGACTTTATTTTCTTGGGCTACAAAATTACTGCAGATGGTGACTGCAGCCATGGAATTAAAAGACGCTCCTTGGAAGAAAAGCTATGACAAACCTAGACAGTCTATTAAAAAGCAGAGACATCACTTTGCTGACAAAGCTCTGTATAGTCAAAGCTATGGTTTTTCCAGTAGTCATGTATGGATGTGAGAGTTGGACTATAAAGAAGGCTGAGCGCCAAAGAATTGATGCTTTTGAACTGTGGTGCTGGAAAAGACTCTTGAGAGTCCCTTGGACAGCAAGAAGATCAAACCAGTCAATCCTAAAAGATATCAGTCCTGAATATTCACGGGAAGGACTGATGCTGAAGCTGAAACTCCGATACTTTGGCCACCTGATGCGAACAGCTGACTCACTCGAAAAAGACCCTGATGCTGGGAAAGATTGAAGGCAGGAGTAGAAGGGGACAACAGAGGACAGATCCAACAGATGGCTGGATGGCATCACCAATTCAATGGACATGAGTCTGAGCAAACTCTGGGAGACAACGAAGGACAGGGAAGCCTGGCATGCTGCAGTCCATGGGGTCACAAAGACTGGACAGGACTGAGTGACCAACAACAAGCACAGTGTCTAACATCTAATAAGTGCTAAGTACATTTCAGCAATTATTTTTCAATATATATTTGCTGAATGATAAAGAACTAGCCCAGAGTCCCACAGGAAACAGACTGGGAGATATGTTATTCACAAAAGCACATGATAAGAAAGTATACTCCTGAAATTACCTAAGGGGTCATACTTAAGCAAATTTTATTCCCTACTATCTATTTTCATGTATGACATGAAAGAAATGAAGTTTCAGTAATAAATTTGTAAACTTCTGAGGTAGTTTATTAAAATAACAATTTTACATTTGGAGAAAAAGAAAATAACACACTGTCTTGAGAATCTGTGCTGTTTCTGACTCTGTCATATACCAAATGAAGTATGTCGTGGTGTAGAAATAACATCACACTGAAATTAAGGAATATTGGATTCTGGCTCATAAATCAGTGTTGGACCTTGGGCACTTTAAAAATTCCTCTGGAAAAAAAGAAAAAGTAAAAAAAAAAAAAATTTCCCCTGGGCTTCAGAATCCTCCTTAGGAATTTGAAGGGATTAAACTAACCTCTAAATTTCCATTCAGCTTTTAAGGTATAAAGTCCTTATAATACTGTTTTTGACCTTTTATGGTTTCCTCTCTTCATTAGAAACTGAACTCAGTTTTGAGGAGCAGGAATCAAACTTTATCTTAACATTTCAGAGACTAGAACAAATGTGTGTCTTGACTGAATGAATGAGTGCACCCTGCAGAGCTTCTAGTTAAAAAAAAGCATAGCGAATTTATGGTATAAGAGGTTAGCAGCTAATATTAACTAATGTGTAAGAATACCGAATGACTGTATATTTATATAGTTGTTGATATTCAAAATAGTTACAGATTATCTCTACTGTCATTTGTTGAAAACTTTGTGAATTAATTTATTTTCATTTTTGGCTGCACTGCTTGGCTTATGGGACCTTAGTTCCTTGACCAGGGATTGAATCTGGGCCACAGCAGTGAAAGCACTGAGTCCTAACCACTGGACCACCAGGGAATTCCCCCAAAACTGTTGAATTACAAAAGAAATTCTAAACCAAAAGAATTTTTTACTTCTGATATATTTTAGAGAAATTATGAGTCAGTTACAAAGCTTTGAGAGATGCCAATTCTATTATATCCCATCATCCAAAGGAATTACTGTATAGATAAAACTGATGGACAGTTTTCCCACTTCTTTTGAATAACCACAGATGTCTTTCTCTGGATATATCCCCCAAAAGAGGTACAGGAAATTCTGCTTCTCTTCTTTTAGTAAAAAGTTCAGTGAAATTTGAGATGCACTTACTTAACAATTTCCTGGAACTAATGGCTGGAAAAGTGAAGGTTTTTCCTAATACTAGCTATCAGCCTAACCACACCAACCTGAGTATGAATGTCACAGATGAACTCTACATAAACTGGCACAAGCATGATAAGTTTTTTTTTTTTTATTGTTAAATTACTGTTACCATTTGCAGAGCAAAAAGGGACTGTTCTACTTGTGCATTCACATTTTAAATTATTGAATGATAAACAAGTAACTGACCAGTTAGGAAAGGAAAACTAAAGCAAGGGTTTCCTTACAGGTCTTCTAAATTCTCCAATAATTATAGAAAACATGCTCAAGATTTTTAGAAAAAAAACACTTTTTTCTACATATGATATCATATTAATAAACCAACTAAATTGGAAAGACTTCCTCAGTAGTAAGGATAGACTATCTCTGGCTAATGCAGTTATCATTTGCATACAATATAAACATCAAAAAAATAAAGAGGTGGCATATTTTAACATTTTCTGAAGTGTTAACACTCTTAATGCTGAGTTTCCAGTTCCAGAATTGTCCATTCCCCTTGGGGTGAACATTCTTCAGAGGAAAAACTAGCCATAGTAATGCTTGCTGAGGAATCATCAAATGGAGATGCTAGTTCACTCCACCTGTTCAAAGTGTCTACATGTGCTTTACCCTGAGGTTTTGAGCTGTCTCGTGCTAAAAGTAGTGTCTGATTAATTAGATACTGTGCTAAATTTAAGTCTTCAGGAACAGAATTTGTGATATTTAAGTTAGAGTCCTGTTCAGAGAGCAGTTGCTTTAATAGTGTCCAGTCTTGTTTTGCAAAGTGTTGCTCATCTTCAAAATCCATGTCTGTAACTTGTGTTTCTGACTCCATTTTCTGCTCAAATGCTTCTGTTACATCCATCTCATATATTGGAGATAGGGTTTTTGAAGGCCGATGGTCATACATGTAGATTTGTGCCACTGTGTCACAACCATCTATGTCTCCTGAAATGATTCATAATACTACACAATGTAAAAATTGCACATGTTGGTACCCCTCAGAGTTCTGTAGAACTATTAACACAATATAACTGTTATAGTCCAAAAAAAAACCCCACAGAATGGGAAAAATAACATTTATACAAAATTGAGAAGATTTTTGAGGCATTTCTTTTTCTCTGTTTAAAAAAAAACTTGATGGTAATGTTTAGCAGGAAAATCAACAGAGGAAACTAACAATAATTCTCCATAATTTAATTTAAAAGCTTGTGATACAGAAAACAAAAATTATTTAAACATAAACAGAATGCACACATATATCTAATTCACTACAATAGAAACTTAAAGAGAAAAAAGGACATGGTTATTTGATGATGATGTTTAAGGTAAGTCAGTTTCAAAGGGAGAATCAATACATTTTATCTAAAGACTTACTTGTATATTGCACATGCAAAGAAGGATGCAAGCAAGGACAAACAAAAAAGTACAACTTTAAGAGCTCCCTACTCTTGTGATTTTGCTGAACAGGGACTATTGGTAACTATTTTTCTTCATTCTGGTATACAATAGCTACTCAATCAGCTACTATTGCATATTTTAAATGTGGGTCATAGTTCAAATTACAATAATAAGGAAGACAAACACACAAAACAATTAGACAGGAAACCATCTATACATATGAAATAAGCCTGGGCTTTTTTCATATGTTATCATTTCTCTAAATATAATCTCTTTAAGGAAACTTATCTTTTTACTTGAAAATTTTAGAACATAACTATAGTGATCCTGAAACTCTTAATCTCTGTAAAATGTATATAAATTTTAATAATTAATCTAGTTAAAATAGTTCAGTGTTTTTAGTTACATATTACTATACTTATTGCACAGCCCTCTTATATATTAGCATAGTTCATAAATCATATCCAATGTATAATAAAATTTCTAATAGTCAAGAATTCCTATGTTAAATTAGACATAAATAACTAAATAATAGCAAACTATGTTTTTCTCTTTATTCTTTCATGTAAAATCTCTTAGTAGGTTAGCTCTAATAAACAACCAAAATTTTTATTAGATGTTAATTTTTCACTAAGATTTTAGGTGAACAATTAAGAGCAGCTAGCTAATTTTCATTCTATTAAGAAATTTCAGTTTTCATTTAAAATTTCAATCTGCTGCTTAAGCAGTTACTCTAAAATATAACATTCAGGGGCTACCGACAACTTTAAGATTCTATAAACTCATTTTCTTATGAATTTGGCATGTCTATTTCTGTACATTACCTGCAGATAAAGCAATATTAGCTTTTTCGGTAGCTGTAGAATGGCTTTCTTTCACTTGACCTTCCTGAGGCAGAACTTGACTCCGACAGGAGTCCAGAGACTTTGTGAAGCTGTTCTTTGGTATGTCAGAATCGGATTCTCTTTGATGAAGTTCCAAATGACATGGTCTTTCTTGAGATTTTATATCACTATCTGAAAATTTGCTGTGTGTCTCAAAGTCATTATCCACATTGCTTCCACTATATACTTTTTTATCTCCTGGAGGAAGCTGTCTGCCTCCTTTGGACAGGATATCTGTTGTGCCCTTTTTCTCTGCGGCTGAAGCACTCTGTTTATCTTTACTTGATGAGTCAATGCTACTAAGACCCAAGGGAGAGCTTTTGTTTTTATATATACTATTGCTTTTCTTTTGTCTGCATTCTAAAACACTACCTTCACTTTCTTGTGAGTATCTGGAGTAGCAGGTCCTTCCATGATGTTCATAAGAAACACCATCAAAAACATCAGAAGGTGAAAGAGAATCTACAGAAGGTTGAAAGGAAGCATGGACTTCCCCTTCATCAGATCCTATCTCTTCACATTCATCTACAGAAAGTAAAACAGACCTTTTAAAATTTTTAGTTACACGAAACTCGTGACTTTCATTTTCAGTTGCATCTTCAAAAGCTAGATTAATTATCCCCTGAAACTGCTGAAGAGCTGGGTTAGATGTAGAGAAATTTTCTGCAACATTTTCAGCTTCAGACCTTTCATCTTCTGTTTCATCTGCTGAGGAAGAAACCTGATCTACCTCCTGTACAAACTGGACACTGCCTCGTGGAATATTTTCTTTTTCCCTAGGATGAACTATTGTAGATCGAGACCAAATTTCTGGCCTTTTCCTAGGAATCTCATCATCACTTGTTGAATTAACTTGGAAAAGATCACTACTACTTTGCTTTCTCATTTTCACTTCAATTCTTAAGTTGCTATCATATATTTTTAATTCTTCAGGAGTACTGGTATCACTGCTACTTCTTCCCAGAAAATCATGGCACAGCATAGTGCCACATTTAGAGACACCTCTGTCATTTGACCCGTCATCATCCTGAGACCCTCCAGCATCATAATCTTCAGATCTGGGCTTTATGTCATCAGAGGATGTTGTAGCACTGCCACTGTCTGATTCAGGACTCTCTCTCTGATGCAGAACATTGGTACTCAAATTCCAGCGACTCATGAATGGTGCTTCTGGAGTTTCGTGGCTCTCTGGAGTTTCTGTTGTTTCCGTATCTTTAGGAGAATTTTTCCCTGATATTTGTTCCAAAAAACACTTGGAGGAAATATGTGAATCTGTTGTAGCATGATTGTCTTCATTCATGGCAGAGTCATCAGACAACTGACTAGGAGTTGTCTCTTCTATATGAATTTTAGACTTTTTGTCATCTTGACCAGAATTTAAGGTACCATTTGTCTTTTCAGGAACCCAAGGTAAAACATCTTTCACACATTTAATGCTTAATTTTTGGTTTATATCTTTTCTCCCTACTTGCTTCTCCCTATCTGATTCTGAATGGAGTTGTTCTACATGTGCTGAGTCTAAGTCACAAACTGGATTAGAGTTCAAAGAGTTTTCTTTTGGATTTGAAATCATGGATTTTAGAACAGTGGTACTATAAAATTTTGGATCAACATTGTCACTCTCATCAGAATGACAAGGTATTTTAGCTGTGGTGTAGTAATCTATTTTTTTGTGACCAGAAACATTTGTTTCACTATTAACTGAACACATCTGTTTTGATTCCAGTTCATGTTTTATTAATTTATCCAGATTTGAAATATTTTGGCACTCTAACACCAGCTTCTCTTTTTCTTGATTGTTCAGTGTCTTCTCTGAGTCGAGTATGCATGGTGACGGAAATGCTTCTGCATCACTGGTGTTGGCTGTGAGATTCGTTAGAGGTTCATGAGGCTTCTGTTCAGAAACACTGCCTTTGTTATTATTATCACATATGTCAAGAAACACACTTTTTTGGACAACAGATGGTTCACTTTTTAAAGGTCTCTGAGGAGAAGGCAGAGTCTTCAGTATAACCTGTTCAGAAAGTGTTTTCGGTTTTGAATCTTTATTATTCAAATTTTCACCTTTTTTAGATTGATTTAGGTTTTTAGGCATTGTGACTGTTTTTGCACTAATCTTAGGCAAAGTTGTTTGTCCTTGTTTGACAATTTTTCTCTTAGGTGTTTGTTTATCTGTAGTTACACTGTGGTCCAATTTTGTCATATTTTCATCAGATTGCCTTGAAGAGACTGAAGATTTTACTGAATTTGGTGATCCTTGGGATCCTAAGAAAAGAAAATTAAAAAATATATCTTCCAGTTTGTGAGTGAAATTCAATATGGTTTTTTAAATCCTTCAAAAGAAACAAAAAGATAACATGATAAAATGGTAACATAAGATCAAATCGACAATTACAAATTAGGAGTTAGTGACTTGATAAATTAAAAAATACTTTTTACTACAAATATAGAGAACCTATTGCAGCAGCTTAATAAAATTATTAAAATAGGTCCTCTCTTCTTCAAGCAAAGAGCATTGAGCATTATGCCAGAATTGGATTTGCATAAATATATGCAGGTAGAAAAATCTGGTTTTCTTATGCCAAGAGAGTAGTAAGCATCTTCCCTTTGAAGATCTAGGGGTGGAAAATAGACTGTTCCACACAGTTGAAAAGGAGAATCAAACTAAATACAAAATAGAAATGTTGAAATTGTTCCAATTTTTTTCTTCCAACAGTAACAAAACTAATTTATTTCTCATAACAAGATCATTATTATTATAGTTCATGAGGGTTAACAACTCTCATGAATCTGCAGTTGAAACTAATGCTGGTTACTGGAAGGAAAGAGGATTGATTTTGAGAATTCACTTGTTTATAATGGTTGAAGTTCTAGAGATGGTATTTTGAGCATTTAAAACTGTCAAACAGAAATACCAAATCTTTGTAAATGTTTAATTTTTATCTGTTACTAGAACATGAACAATTTTTCTCTGGCTTATTTTAAAATTTACTTTCAGTATTAATTCATTACCTACCTCAGAACTGTATTTAGCATTGTACAAACTGCTCTTACATATATGAATGCTTAATGAATAAGCAAATTAATTTTTAAAATCTGTTATTACATTAGCAAATTATGCAATCTGATCAGTAGTCTTCTCTTTCCTAGAACATGGAAAACAACAGGCACAGCACAGAGTCTAGAGAGAAAATTCTTCCTATGTATTACAGCTCTCTAGATTGTACCATTAGTTTTTAAAGAGCTCTTTAGTGTTGGCTTTGCAGATAGAATTCTTAGAGTTATCAATGAAGCTTTTAAGAAACACAGGCATAATATATAGAAGGACAAGAAATGCAGATACCTAGTAACTCCTTTAATATGATTTTCACAAAAGAAAATAAAGAGTAAACTTATACCCCAAAATACCAAAATACCTGTCTGAAAAGTGGAAGAATAAAATCTTGTCTCTGAAGTATGAAATGAATGTAAAATGACTGAAGTCATGTTATATTTTGCTTATTTGTTGCTGAAGTTCCAGAATCAGAGTTCTGCTTATTCCATTTAAACAAAGAAGTAAAACCTAGGAGTATTTCAACTTTACCTTGAGTTTTAGCAAGATTAGCTGTGGCATTCTTTGTCCTCTGCTGAGCTGTAGCACATCCATTGCCATTTCCTCTTTTTTTTGAAGTTGCCTGTGGTACTGTATCACTGTATCCTTTGCTGGTGATCTTCTTTAGCACACTAAGAAAAATTATTTGTGTTCAGTGTTACACTGAGACTCTGAAACATAATTTTTTAAAAGACTCATGCATGAAATATAGTTTTTTACAACACTGTAAATCAATTAAACTTCAATTTAAAAAAAAAAGCAAAAAGAAAAATACTTTTTCTCAAAGAAGTAAAAAATATCTCCTTTCTGAAAATAGAAAAAGTCATATGTTTGTAAGTGTTTAAGTTTATAAAACTATAGCTCAACTATGGGAAAGCAATGCATAATTAGGTGCCACAAGGATATATTATTCTTCTATCGTTTTGTATAATAAGTTTTAAAGTATCATTATGTAAATATATTAAATTGTCTAAGGAAAAATATTTTAACAATATTTAGCTAGAAGTTAGTATATGATTAACTTCCAGAGAAAGTTAATGTCTAGGTAAAAAGTGAAGACTTACCTGTTATGTGTATTAGATTCCTGTTCATGAGTGCTTTTTTTATTGGAAATTCCATTGGTATCTTTTGAAACAGGTCGAGATTTCATTGCTGTAAATGAAGATGAGTGAGTCATGAGATTGAACAATAAATATGTAATAATTATGTATAAATTCACTGGTCATACACTATATACAAAATTAAATGTTAGAGTGAGAAAAACTTTTTCCTCAGTTTGCATGAATATAAGTAACTAAATTCTTTTTGGCATTTGAAACTAAATAAAAGCATCAGAGTGCTAAAACTCACCTGCAGTGGAAGTTTTGATACCTTCCACACTGTTTTTCACAGTCTGTCCCCGAGAGTCACAAGAGGAAGGTTTATGACCAGAAAGCTTCTCTTTCATTGACCCATTTTCTTTTGGTTCCTCCAGACAGTCAGTGGAGGTCAGTACCTCCATCCTTGAATCTGCAGGTCTGCTTGAGGGCCCTGCAGTTCGGAGGTGTGGACAGTCTTTGCCCGTTACTTTCTTCAAAGGCTTAGCTTTGGCTTGCATATTTAAATTTCCAGTGAGCACCTTGGGTCTGGCACCTGTAATTTGCTCTTCCTGATTTCTCACTCCTTTTCCATTTCCGGAATTTTTCTGTTCATTTGCTGCTGCTGTTGCTGATCTTTCCACAGCTTGTCTAGGTGACAGGTTTGTTGATTTTGCATTATCACTGTTTTCCGTTTTGGGCTTTATGATAGCTTTGGGCTTTCCAGAAACATTTTTTCCCACAGTTTTTAATTCTTTTGTACTCTTGGATGCTGGTTTTGGATCCTTTTCCTTTAAATCATCATGCTTCAAAGTTTTATTTATAGAATTTCTATTAGTACCTGATGAATGTCCAGATGCTCCTAATCCATCAGATTTCATCTTCTGATGAGTAGAGAGATAACTCAGACACTCTTTCTTGTTACTTCCTCCAGAGGATTTGTTTTTTATAGCACCACAGTCAGAAACCTGTTTCCTTTGCTACAAAAAAGAAAAAAAAATACTTGGTATTTTGACAAAAGTCTTTGACACGTAATGCTTTATGTTTCAATAGTCAGTTTTTCAAAGAGGAAAAAGCAGCAAAATTCACATTATGATTTAGGGCCACTTAAAACTTGAATTATCTTGGATCACTTAAATGTGTGTTTGATCACCTTACCTTAATCAAATCTGAAATACAACAAACAATAAATAGGAAATTCTACTTTTAAAAAGGCATACTATTTAATTTTATGAAATTATGGTAGAGATGAACACTTAATGGTATTAGGATGCCTTGGGTAAATGATAGTATCCCACATTTTTTGAGGGCCCACTCCCAGGTTTTGTGCTAAAATGCTTTTCATATATCATCTTGTTTATTCCTCACAACAATTCTGTAAGATATCTCCTGCTGCTATCTCCATTTCTTAGACAAGAAACCAGGGGTTAAAGCAGGTATGTAATTTACCCAAGGCCATGAGCTTCCCAGGTGATGCTAGTGGTAAAGAACCCACCTGCCAATGCAGGAGATGTAAGAGACACGGGTTCAGTATCCGGCTCAAGAAGACCTCCTGGAGAAGGGCACGGCAGCCCACTCCAGAGTTCTTGCCTGGAAAATCCCATGGATAGAGAAGCCTGGCAGGCTATACAATTCATAGGGTCACAGAGAATCAGACATGACTGAAGCGACTTAGCATTCACATGCATGCACATGATGAAAAGGGTTGCACTAGGACTTGAGTTCAAGATTTACTGCCTTAAGCAGGTAGCCATTATATGGTAAACTCTGAGGGACATTATAATGATTTTTCACCAAAAATTCTCTCTTCAATCCTATATACCGAATGCCAGAAACTTTATCACTGAATATTTAGTCCTCTGGAGGCAACGGCCAGAGGGAAGCTCCTGGGAAATAACACATTGACATTTGAAAAGTTTGGTTTTGGGGGAAGGGGAAAGCAAAAAAAAAAAAAGGAACCCAAACCCATAAATACCGCCCACAGCATCTTAATACAGTATTGGTTGTCTGAAGAAAAGAAAAGGGGTCCTAAAAACAAATGAAATAGGTAAAAAGAGGAAAATAGAAGGGCACTAAATTCAATTCACCTACTTTATCATTTTTGTTAGAACCAATCTTGTATGGAAGGGAATAAGTGGTATGAATTATAGAATAAAATTTTAAGAATATATCGCCGTTTTTTATGTAAATACTGCCCCCCCTCCTTTGGAAGACTGTTATGAGATTGTAGAGGTATGAGGTAGAACCTGTGTTGTCTTCTTTGATCCCTTAGCACCATGCCCATCACACACTGGGTATGTACTCAAAGAAGATGTGATGATGGTTATCAACCTTGAGCATATATTGATATACAGTTCAGGGTCTAGTTATTTCTAAATATAGAAAGCTTCTATTTACAATGAAAATTTGTTTAAGATAAAAATAACATATAGGTAAGTGAGTGTTTATATTCACACACACACACATACATACATAAATAATAAATAAGCTAGTTAAGTTTAGCAAAAAGCAAGGTATAAAGAGTAATTAGATTCTTATTCTAACTTTGCTTCTAACTGAAGAAAAAAATTTCAGATATTTAAGAACTCATTATTAACGTCTCTGGGCCTCGGATTATGCATATTTAGGGGTAGAGACTGGTCCCATTCAGCAGAGTGTACTAGGATTCTGTGTAACACTTTTAAACTTCAAATAGGCTTGGTCCTCGCTTTTTGTTTTCTTGATCAAATCTTAGCTCAAAAAATAAATTTCTCTATTTTTAATACTTAAGACCAGGAAGACTCTGATGTTAGATCTCTTCCCACCTTTAAAACTAATCTTACTTAATTTACTCTATCCTTGAGTCTATCTATTTTAAAGTATTTATATAGCATATGGAGTAACTATACTCCTTTAGAAATTTCACCATTAACATTGCATGGTGAGAATTCAATGTATATGCATTTTTTAGACAATCTGTGATTTATAGCTACAAAGTTTATGTATGTTTCTTATATACAATTGACCAATTAGGAATGGTCACCACATGATAAAGAAAAAAGAGTAACCCTCTAAAGCCTTCCTCTTAGACACACTTTCAGGTCTAGTACTATTCCTTTACATTGTTGTTACTATATTTTAACTTTTTAAATGATGGAGCTAGTATGTTATAAAATAGACTTAGGAAAATAGTCCTAGGAGGTATACTAGCAAAAAGCTACAGTGTCCCACAGTTTTTCACCCAAGACATTTAACCTTGACCTCTGCCACAGCCATGAGAGCTCCAGGTTGTGGCTTAGAGTTGTATGAGTTCCTGTCTACTAGCTGATAAGGAAGAAAAGATTTTCTATTTCATTCTTGCAAAGGCAATATATTCTTTGCATTTCAAGCTGGAACTCTCAGTGTATGTCTCCATATCATTGGAATGCATGTCTAGGTTAGGATAATTTTTTTCCCCCCATATATTTTTATTAGCTGGAGGCTAATTACTTTATAATATTGTAGTGGTTTTTGTCATACATTGACATGAATCAGCCATGGATTTACATATATTCCCCGTCCCGATCCCCCCTCCCACCTCCCTCTCCACCCGAATCCTCTGGATCTTCCCAGTGCACCAGGCCAGACCTAGGTTAGGATAATTTTGTATTTCACATATATTAAGTTAGCTCTAACCATCATTAATAATGTGTGTGTATGTGTAAATGTGCTAAAAAACAAATAACATAAAACTTACCATCTTAATTATTTTTAAGTGGGCAGTACAGTCAGGCTGACTATATGCCTTGCTGTTCAACAAACCTCTAGAACTTTCTCACCTTGCAAAACTGAAACTTTATCCTCATTAAACAATTATTCCCCTTTGCTTTGTCTCCCCAGACCCTGGCAGCCACCATTTTACTTTGTTTTTAAGACTTTGACTATTTTAGTTACCCCATATAAGTACACTAAGTAACTTTTAAAGTGAACACAACTGTACTCTTGATGTTGATTTCCTTTTTCACATCAAAAATACCTCATGTGGATTAAAATCTTAGTTTAGAGAAAACTGGGACAACTAAAATCTTTTTCAGAAGTAGGTTAATTAGAAAAATAGACATGGAAATGGATTTAGAATTCTGGACAATTTCTGATCTGGAATAGTTCCAATATGCTAGTTGCCAAAAAAGTTTTCAAGGAAATAAAAAAGGTAGACAATATTTCACTTCCCATGTCAACTGGATATAAAAAATGCATATCACTTAAAAATTTTAAACTGTTTACTTGATTTAAAAAAGACTCAAAATTATTTCCATCCAGGAACAGCTTTAGTTAATGAATAAACTTTTAAAAATTATTCTGAAATATAAAATAATAAAATTTGAATTATTTTTCATCTGGGCTTATAAAACTGTAAAAGTTTACCTGAGAGCTAGTGAATATAGGCTTTTTGCCAAGTCTTCGGTCATCACCTTTGTCAAATGCAGCTGTAGGGGGAAAAAAAGCAATTTATTTTTATAGGAAGCATTCTTATTACCACAGGAGTAAAGGGATAATAATATATCAGCAGAAAATGGTTACATTTTGATGGAAATAACTTTTAAAAAGCTGAAACCAATCTAACACACTAAATAACTATCTGCTTCAGAAGCTATCTTAAAGAAATTTATTTTGAATCTTATTTTCTTGTTCCTATGTATTTTATGTTACTAAAATTAATACATGAGAAACATATAGCCTTGTGGAGAAGATTTGTACATTTACAAAAACCTAGAATTTTCTCAAGTTGTGAAATTTTAGAGATAACTTACTTTTAGCTGGTTTTCCAAATTGAAAAAAATTAGAGATTGTGGCAAATGCAGTATTTTATAAACTATCAAATATGAGAAAATTTCTATCCCCAAAAATATAAAAGCACTGTTAAAATTTTCTAATTTTGCAGGTATGTCAGGAGGAAAGAGTAAAGAGAAAAAAATAAAGTTTTGTCAAAAATAAAACATGATACAATCCTTAAACATATCATTCTTTTTAGAATTATATAAAAATTCATTTTATAGATTTAGGTTTATATGGGAATTACTGGGGAACTCAGTTGATGTTCTTCGAATAAGAATTTAAATGACGTCAGGGAAAAATATAGGAATAATGACACAGAGCTATAAATATAGTTTAGCTAATGGATTTCTTCCTTTTGAAGGTCATGTAGCTTTAAAATATATTTTGAAGAAATATATATAATTTCCAAATTTATTTTTATTAAAACAGTTGATGAAAAATACATTAAATTATCTGTAATTCTACCATACACCTTCTACTATCTCTGTTTTATGGGAATTATGTTATAAGACAAAGCAGGTTCCTAGAAATGGCATTACAAAGACTAGTTTGTGGTCAGCAAACGACTGCATAAAAATATACAGGCAGAAATTAATATAAGATTTCTCCCAAAGATCAATAACTCAAACTAGAACCTAAGAAATGTTAAAAAATAGAACCCAGAATTACTCCTTTATCTGGGATTTGCCAATGCAGTAATTATGCATAGGTCAGTACTCATTATAATTCAACATATGTAAGATTTTAAAAATCATTTTTACACTGATGTAGTAGACTGAAAAGTTCTTTTTGACAAATTATTTGGAATGCCAATAACATTCTGTTGTAGATATGTGTATATAAGTGTGTGTATTTACATGTATTTTATATTAGCACTCTGCAGAACTAAGATAAAGAAGATTGTTCGGGACCCAACTTAACTATGAAATCCTTTAAAAAATGGAGAAAAGCAAAGTTTACTCTCGAACAGAAGAGAGTTGACGACACCTACGCATGGAATGCTGATATTATTTTTTCACACTGAATCATACAGATGAACTGTCATCTAAAAATCAGCACAGAAATAGTCACAGGGAAAAAAATTCCAATTTCTAAAGACCTTCTCATGACTTTCGTTGTTTCATAGATTTTGTTGTTTTATTATTTTGTTGGATTTCTTTGCAAAGTATTCCTGAGATCACATCTAGCTACACTAGCATGTTATACTCCTAGCACAAAACAGAGCAAATAATATTCTGACTAAACCATTAAAGAATTTAATATATCCATGTATTATCAAGAATATATTATATCACATATGTCTTCCATGTTTTATAGTACAGAAATGTTTGCTTCATAAAATACAGTCTCTTAAAGTGTTTTAAAAAATAAACTTACTGAATCTGTCAATATTTTTCCTAAGGTACCTGCTTTAGCCCCAAAATAGTCATGAAGCCATTTTTAGTTCCACACCCTCAATTTTCTATTGTAACATTTTGAACACATTGTGAGCAGTATACCTCCTTTGTTTAATGCTAATATTTCAAATGGTACCTATTAAATGTCAAAGACCACTGTGTGGCTCCCGAGGGACACTCTGCAATAGCACACATCGTATCACTGAACCAGGCTATCGTGAAATAAAGCCATCTAATCTAAGCAAAACCACAAGAAAGGGTATCTTATGCAAAAGAAGATAGAAAAGCTTTATGGAAAAATATATTTTGAAGGGGAGAGAAAGTACATTTGGTAATCTGTTCTGTATGGGTTACATTTTCTATACTTCTACTCTCTCTATGAGAATGCTTTTAAGCAAATTTGCTAGAACACTTGCTAATACAAAGTAGAATTATATATGTATGTATAAAGAAAATGAGTTTCAGTTTCGAAGAACAAAAATAAAACATGCTTTATTAAACTGCCTAAACATACTATCACTAGTTTCAATCAGCAGGCTATTATTGAACAGAAGCAAATAAACGTTAACCCTACCACTTATTGGAATTCCTTTAAAATAGCCCTTGTCACAATTATAGGAATAAAAAATCTCAAGGCTAACATACCTGCTTGGATTTTCTGTTGATCATCTGTGCTCATCAGCTTCCAGCTTTCTGTGTGACGAACAGCATAGAAAGACTGAACCAGGAAGATCCACAGCTTATCACGCAGAGCCTGGATCTTGCACGTAAAACCCTGTGTTCAGGCAACAAATCAGCAGCTGGTGAGAGAGCCACATTGTCATAGCAACCAGTCATTATTCCTTTCCGAATCTACTTACTCCTAAGCTAGATCAATGATGTCATCACTTAGATTTTTAAGATCGTAGGGTACAAGTTATTTATGAAGGCTTACTCTTCAACAACAGAATTTTATAGTGAACATGAACCTTGTTCTTTCAGTCTTGTCCTTTTAACCAAACACTGTTTTAAACTACCAATAACCTTTATATAAATACCGTCCACATCCTTTTCAAATCAACTATGACATTACAAGGTCAAATACCCTATGCAGTAATAATAAATATGATGACAATTTTTTGTCATTCTTGTTGAACAAATTGTCAATATTTGCAATTAGCTTATTTATTACCATTCATGAATTGTTTAAAAATAAAATATATTTTAATTTTTCTTTTTCCCAGTCAATCCAACTTTAAATGATTTTATTCTTAAGAAAAAAAGGAATTAAAAAATATATTGTAAAATTAAAAGACCCTGATGATTAAAACTCTAAAACATTCTTTAAAATCCTTTAAGTTTTATATTAGGAAATTTAATGGAGTGACTGGGAAGAAATACTAAAGTTATGCTGTACCAATTAATATTGCTACCAAACTATGCTTAGAATTAGCCAAACTTCTAAATTTCTAAACTCCTATAATTATAGTAAGTCCATTTAGAGGTAAATGAAAATTCTAAAATTATGCATTACAAGAAATTCCAAATATACATAAAACTACAGACTATAACCAACCCTCAGGTATCAAACACTTAATTTTAATGAATCATGCAACATTTAAAATATGTATATATTTTAAATCCTATAACACTTTAAATATTCTATCATTTTAATTAATTTTTATGACATTTAATACCATTTCTTTTGTACTGTCAGAGTTCAGTAATGTGTCCAGAGCCATAAGAAGCGAGCAACTATTCTCAGTGGTAATGTTTTCTTCAACAGCTTTTAAAATTTTGTCCAACAGATCAGATGTGCTACTCATTGCTTGTGACTATAAAACACAGAAATTGACATTTAATAGGAATATGTGCAAGAAACATGGAAGTCTGGCATAACATCTGGCCATTATCATAATTGGCTTTATGAATTCAATCAGAAATCACATTTTTTCTGTTAATATAATAATTATTATTATAATAATATTATGCTAACCCCTTTCCTCTGTTTAAAATATCTGCGTGTGCACACACACACACACTAAGAGCCAAAATAGTGCTAAGACAGAGCCTAGAAATGAGTAATAAAAGTTCTTTAGTAACAAAATTTAGAGAATGTGGGTCCCAGTAAGACAGAGAATTTTGCATGGACCATAATTGTATTACTGCTCCAAACAACATCTTTATGACTTCAATTTCTAAAGTACAGCTTAGCTGATTGAGGACTGGAGTTGGCTAGAGTTACATTGTGCCTTGCCAGGGCACTCCAACCTGTCCCCTCCTCCCTTCATTATCTTATGTATGAGCCAAAAATCCTGTCCATCACTGCCCTAAATCCTAGGCAAACATGCCATCTGGTATGGAATTTACTTATGTCATACTAATTTAATCAAAGGGAACCTGCATTTGAAAACTCTTACATAATATAATCAAAACACAAAGATGGGACTAAATATAGGATATAATTTTAGACATAGTACCTGTAAGAGAAGAGCAAAATTTTCACTTTGAATGATCTTGGAGAAATTTTCTATAATAAATGCAATACATTCTTCTTGGAGCTGAGATGCCATGATCAGTGCTGACTCTGTCCACTTCACTCTGGGTAAACTGACGATTAGCCTGTCACTTTCCATCAGAAGAAAAGCAGCATTCTTATCATTCTTATAATTTTGAAAATATTGGGGGAAAAAGTTAGATTACTGCTCATAAAAAAAACTTTCCAAGCAAATTAAATACTTTTGTTTTCTTGTGATACTTCCTGTAAAAATCCAAAATTCCAGATAGCTAATATCTTTGTCATTAGCTTTATAGATTTATTCATTTATTCAAAATTATCCTAAAGGGCAAACTTTGAGCTGGAAACAAATCACCTTTAAAGCACAGTTAAAAGAAACATTAGAGCAAAGTTACAAAATAACTACAAAGAAAAGCCGGACTTCCCTGAGATTTTTTCACTACTGAATTAATTTCTGTGCTTACAGATATTCACAGCTGTATGGAGATACACTGACACAGTATTATTTCTTTTCTGACTATAAAATACATGTTCTTTATTATAAATTTAGAAAGGGTAAAAATTACTTCTAAACCCAAGTGACTTGCTCCTTCCTCTCTAATTAGGTAAGACTCTTCTTTTTATATTTTATTTATTTAATAATGATTCATTTTTACACCATAGGAAAGAATATTATGAATACTTATCTCTGTGAAAAAATGGAATGACACTTCACAAATACCATGTGCTCCAAGGAAAAAATGGCAACTTATAAATTACTGTATTTTATTCATGTTTCATTTTTAATTCTTAAACAATCCTTAGGACATACCTGTTTACTGAATAAATAGTTATCTGATCAATTGCAGTAGACTGAAAAACATGGCCACAAATTCTTTGTAGCTCAGTTCTTCAAGAGGTGGACTTGACTCCTCATCTGTTGATTCTGAACTAGCTAGTTTACTTGCTGGCACAAACAAAGATATTGTGCAAGTTTCAGAGCCTAGACCTCAAATATCCTTGCAGGCTGTATCTTTACCCTCTTGGTTCTGGGACCACAAAGCCAAAAAGAAGCCGAGTAAGAAAGACCAAGGATGCAGGAGGCCCAGCCTCCAACTTGGCCATCAGCTGAAAGCTGCCTCAGGACTAAACTCAGGCAAGATATGCAAAAAAAAATCACCCAGTTGACTCACAGAGAATTCAGCTCAGTACAGTTCAGTTGCTCAGTCGTGTCCGACTCTTTGCGACGCCATGAACCACAGCACGCCAGGCCTCCCTGTCCATCACCAACCCCCGGAGTTCACCCAGACTCATGTACATTGAGTTGGTGATGCCATCCAACCATCTCATCCTTTGTCATCCCCTTCTCCTGCCTTTAATCTTTCCCAGCATCAGGGTCTTTTCAAATGAGTCAGCTCTTTGCATCAGGTGGCCAAAGTGTTGAAGTCTCAGCTTCAACATCAGTCCTTCCAATGAACACCCAGGACTTGTCTCCTTTAGGATGGACTGGTTGGATCTCCTTGCAGTCCAAGGGACTCTCAAGAGTCTTCTCCAACAGCACAGTTCAAAAGCATCAATTCTTTGGCGCTCAGCTTTCTTAATAGTCCAACTCTCACATCCATACATGACCACTGGAAAAACCATAGCCTTGATTAGACAGACCTTTGCTGGCAAAGTAGTCTCTGCTTTTTAATATGCTATCTAGGTTGGTCATAACTTTCCTTCCAAGGAGTAAGCGTTTTTTTAATTTCATGGCTGCAGTCACTATCTGCAGTGATTTTGGAACTCCCCAAAATAAAGTCAGCCACTGTTTCCCCATCTATTTGCCATGAAGTGATGGGACCAGATGCCATGATCTTAGTTTTCTAAATGTCGAGCTTTAAGCCAATTTTTTCACTCTCCTCTTTCACTTTCACCAAGAGGCCTTTTAATTCCTCTTCACTTTCTGTCATAAGGGTGATGTCTTCTTTGTATCTGAGGTTATTGCTATTTCTCTCGGCAATCTTGATTCCAGCTTGTGCTTCTCCCAGCTCAGCGTTTCTCATGATGTACTCTGTATATAAGTTAAATAAGCAGGGTGACAACATATAGCCTTTTCCTATTTGGAACTAGTCTGTTGTTCCATGTCCAATTCTAACTGTTGCTTCCTGACCTGCATAATAGGTTTCTCAAGAGGAGAATAAATTTTATCAATAGTTTAAAGCCACTTAGTTTTGGGGTGATTTGCTACACAGCAATAAATAACTAGAAAACCTGGAAAATTTCCCCGGTCTCTTCACCTACATCAGATTCCTTTTATACATGTCATCAGAGAACCTGTCCCTTCTCTTTAGAGCATTTACTTTATTTGTAATTTTTCAATGATGAAATACCTATTTGATTAATACTCATCTCTCTCACCAGGCTGTATGTTTACCGAATGTGAAACCATGTTCATTTTGGCTCATCATTGTATCCACAGGGCTTAGTATAGAACAGGGTCATAGCAGACACTCAAATGTTTATTGATCTCTAAGCACATCAGAGACTTAGAGTCTGTAAGTGAATTCTTAAGATAAATTAAGTTTAAGCTCTGAACATCAAAACTTTAAAAATTTCACCCATTTAGCAAGAATTCTTTCAAAACATATATTTCCCCTGCTTTATTTATTTGAGTAAAAAAAATTGTAATATGCTATAATTCAAGTCTTAAAAAATTTACTTATTTATTATAATTTACTGTTATCCTTTCCTCCTCTGGTGACTTCCTGAGTAATTGCGCAATTACTAAGAGTTTCAGGCAATAAACCAAATTTGTTCTACTATAGGGACTGTTCTAGTATTAGAGACAAGTATAGATAATTCAAATAAACTTGGCAGGTATCTATGAAATGCTTACTATATTCATAATATTATGTGCTCTGACAGTAATCTTTTTAAAAAATATAGATGTATAGTTGTCATAATTTAGCTTGAAATTTATTGGAAAACTAAAATATGGACATAAATGATAACAGATGGTATGTCATCTTATTCCATACTGATCTGAATATATAATAACATTAAATGTTAAGAGTAGCTTGAAGTTCAAAGAAGGGAGGAAATGTAATATACTTCTAGACCAAACATAAGATTTTAAATTCAATAGTTACCACATGGTTCAAACTTCAACAATATATAAAAGACATTACTAAGAAGTCTCCCACTCCTTCCTGTCCTGAGCCACCTATTTTCCCTTGTCCCAATCAATATTATTTATTTTCTGTATTTTTCCAGAATTACCTTATGTATAACAAATAAAAAAGGTAATTTTTCCCTCATTTTGCTCAAATGGAGGCATTAATATGCACAGTACTCTGTACTTGCTTTTATACTGGGCGCACACCTTGAATATTTTTGTTATCAGAATATAAAGAGCCTTATTATTATTTCAACATCTACAGAACAGTCCCTAATATGGATATAAATACAACCAGTCCTCTACTTGTAGATATTTATGTTGTTTTCAGTTTTTGCTATTACAATGTTGCAATGAAGAACCATGTAGATAACATTATTCCACATGAATGTGAGTATATCTATGGGATAAACTTAATATGCTGGGTCAATATTGCTGGGTCAATACATGTCCAACTCTTTGTGACCCCATGGACTGTAGCCTACCACGCTCCTCCGTCCATGGGATTTTCCAGGCAAGAGAACTGGAGTGGGTTGTCATTGCCTTCTCCAAGTCTTATCTGGGAATTGCCTAATAACTGAGCCTAAGGAAGAGGCTTGGATGCCAGTGATCCCAAGAGAGTGAAACAGGGAAGGAGAGAAAGTCAATGGAAGGGTATGTTTCCTAGCTCCTTGCTAACAAAAGTGTGATCCACAATACCCATTACCTGAAGCTTGTTAGAAATGCAGAATCTCAGGCTCCACCCCTGACTTAATGATTCAGAATCTACATTTGACCAAGACTCTGAAGTGGTTTTTTTTTGGCCATGCCATGCTGCATACAGGATCTCAGCTCCCCAACCAGGGATTGAACCCTGTGCTCCTTGCAGTGGAAGCATGGAGTCCTAACCACTGGACCGCCAAGGAATTCCTGATCCTGTTTGTAATAAAGTTTGAGAAGCAATGACATAGCAATTGTTGCAGCAACAGGGGATCAGTCTTGCTGGGTATCCCCTGGAAAGCTACAGATAATACAATTTGAGTTATTCACCTGCTCCAAGGGCTAGATCAGGGATATACTTAATTACTGGTTCCTGTCTCCCGTTGGTCAAGGTTTGGGCCCTGGGATAGCCCCTTTCACTTCCAGGTTTGCATAACTGTGGGTGCCCAAGGTGGAGCAGCAGTGAAGCCTCAGAACGGAAAGTGAGAAGTATGTGGGATGTGGATGAGCAGAGTTGTCAGGTTACACCCGCGTGCAGCTGCATGCTGCAGCAATGGCTGAAGTACACACATGGGTCAAGAGGACGTGAGGTGGGGCACCAGAAGGATATAAAACACTGCTAGCACATGCTCAACGGGGTGCTGTTTTCCAAACTGTAGTTTTCTCCCCTAGCAACCTAGAGCAATATATTTAGTGGCTTACAGTCAGCATTAGAAAACAAGAAAGAGAAAGGAGAAAAATATAAAATATCAGAGCATCATATTTAATATGGTATGTATTCACTTTTGAAACTTGTTTCAGTTCTACATGCGTGAGTGTAGTGGGTTATAATATAAAAAGAACTTGCTCTGGGTCAGTCAAAAAAGTTTGAAAAACACAGCAAAAGTTGTGCCAATATATTCCCTTCCCAGGAATGGAGTACTTCTTTCCTACATCCTTGTTAAAATAGTACAAATTTCCTTTTTTTTTGTCCCCTACTAAAATGTATTGATAGAAAATGGTCTGACACTAATTTTTTTTAAAAAATTTATTTATTTGGTTGCACTGGGTCTTAGTTGCAGCATGTGGGATCTAGTTCCCGGACCAGTGATTGAACCTGGGTCCCCTGCATTGGGAGCATGGAGTCATAGCCACTGGACCACCAGGGAAGTCGAGACACTGTAATTTTAATGTCCATTTCTCTTAAATGAAGTTGAGGACTGTTCATCAAATAACAGGCATTTGTATTTGCTTTGTGAACTACCTAATCTTATCCTACATTTAGCTATTTTAAAAAAATTGACTGGTAGTAACTCTCTGTAAAAGAAAAA